TAGTGGAGCATAAAGAATCTTCTTACTTTTTGTCCATTGTTCTTCAACTGCTGCAAGTTATTCCTAAGCTGAATGGATGTGTTCCGTATGCTCTTCATTAGAAGCTCTTCTGGCTTAGCCTTGTACAGCTTGGCTTCATTTTCGATGCGAGTCTTTACATCAGAAACAGAAGCAGACAATTCTCCAACTTTCTCCAAGGCCCATTCGCGTTTCTCACGAACTAAATCTGCCTAAAATTAGGTGGATTAGCAAGAAACTAATTCTATTAAAAAGCCCTTACCAAAATGAAACTTTTGCGAAGCTGTTCGAGAAGTGTGTGAAGCTGGACATTGACGGGATCAATCACATGGGTATGAGCCTGAACAACCACATGCGAAACAGTGTTCAATCGGTACAAAACGAGTAGAAATACCTTGTTGCTAAGGGCTTCTACGATCTTACGCGCCAATCTTGAAACTCTATCTTTGACTGAACTTTCAGGAACTTCTTCAACAGTAACTCCAAGAGATCGTTCAACGAGCACACTGATCACATCCAGAAAGGCATTTGTGCTTTCGGCGAGCTTATCGACAGGAATCTGAACAGAGCAACTTCTGCATGTGACAGAAAGAAATATGATTTTACCGATTCGCACTTATTGAAATGTAATCTTATAAGTAGAGAATAAAGCATTTGTAGATAAATTGCCTGAACTACTGCTCTTTATAGGTTCAACCTGCTTCCAAAAACGCACATCTCTCAAAATTAAGTGAAATTACCTGAGCAACACGTTGTCCTTCAGCAATGGCACCCCAAATCTTCTCTTCCATCATCTTCTCAGCTTCGCGCACAGAAGCGAGAAGACGTTGGCCGGCATTTTGAGCCCCACCGATGGTGTTTAAGATCAAGTTTGCTCCTCCTGCTGATAGAGCCAGACCAATCTAGAAATACGAGATATAGGTAATACAGAAAATATTTAAAAAATATACTGATCCCTTATAGAACAATCGCACCGGCTGAACTAAGTTCTCAATGCTTAGGTAAATAAATTATAGCAACAGTTACCTGAGTAGCAACAACAGCAGCACCTAAGCCAACAGTACCTCCTTGAATGGCAACATTTTTCGATGTTTCCACAGCATTCATGGT